CCTTTCGTCTTCAGGTCCTGAAGACTTTCGAAACGTCGTCCCTCTACATTTTGTAGTTTTCCACAACAGGCAGTTGCTGTCCATTTGAAACTTAGATTCATCCCTATGCTGTTAAAGAGTTATAACAATATTTACATTTCATCTGAAATTGTATATAAGCAAATAAAAATATACTCAGTTGACAAAAACACCGAACGTTGATTTAATTTGATGAAATTATTGTACAGACGTTACTGGATTAAACTTTTTTTTAATTTGAAAAATATGTTGCTTGAAGTTTCAGGGGCTGAGTCATATGGGTTGATTGGTCCTAGTGATCATTTCTATAGATAGAACCTGTTTGTTTAATAATTCAATACAAGTGACTTTACTAAATAGCCCAACTTCCAATTAAAATCAGGGTTTTCTTAATTATATTACACTTTATTACACTTCTGTAGCAATTATTAAAACTATTTTAATGAATTTTTCTTTTGTTATAAGTTTGTTTGTTTGGAATTAAGCACAAAGCTACATCCGTGTTCTGCCCACCACGGGTATACAAACCCGGTTTCTAGCGTTGTAAGTCCGCAGACATACCGCTGTGCCACTTGGGGGGGGGGGGGCTTTTGTTATAAGAACTTTTTTTTTATTCAAATATTGTTTATTTAAAGTATTAGTTTGTAGAGTAAAATTATTGTAGCTAAAAATCGAGCCTTATGAAATGTTGATTTATCTTATCGAATAAGACTTTTTTTTTAGAAGATGTTCTTTGGCGTTGGTGGTACTTAAAGAAATAGAAGGATGTTCATAATTCATATTTTTCATTGTCTTTTCATACCTACTAATGGAGTTTTTTATTTAATATTCCCATTTCATGTAAAATAACCAAATACATATATGTAGTACTTAAGAAATACGTAATGCTTATGATTCATTGCAATATTTCACATTAAAAAAAACCCTCTGGTAACTGCTTTTAATAACATTCATTATTATCCAAGATCGCTCTAATCAAGAAAAATATAATTTATGATAAAAATGTCAAGTCTGGTTTGAGAAACGGTGATACGACCATGAAAATCGTTTTAAATTTCTCAAAATTCCGTATTTCTAATACTACATGTATAAGAGTTGCATATACCAACCAAACAATACGTCATTTTGAGTGCTGTTAATATGTATATCATCGGATCTAATTCGCCACTAAATACAGCAAACGTATTTTTTCATGCATGCAGAGATATCCGGTAGGCTAACTGAATTTGCACTCCAATTCTTATTTTAACTAAATTATTTTGTATGCACAAGTGTAAGATATCCAGTAGGCTAACTGAATTTGCATTACAATTCTTATTTTAACTAAATTATTTTGTATGCACAAGTGTAAGATATCCGGTAGGCTAACTGAATTTGCACTACAATTCTTATTTTAACTGAATTATTTTGTATGCACAAGTTTAAGATATCCGGTAAGCTAACTAAATTTGCACTACAATTCTTATTTTAACTAAATTATTTTGTATGCACAAGTTTAAGATATCCGGTAAGCTAACTAAATTTGCACTACAATTCTTATTTTAACTAAATTATTTTGTATGCACAAGTGTAAGATGCATTAATTTGCTATATACTATTAATGTGCTATATACTATTAATGTGCTATATACTGTTGCTTACATCTTTCAGGAACCCATATATTATTGTTTAATTTTGATTATTAATTGCTTAATGTCTCAGAAATGAAGGTAATTTTATTTTCTTACTCACACTAAATATTTCTGACACTACTCCTCTATTAAAGTTTTTATCTTTGGTGAAAAACGGTCACAAGTTATTGATTATAAATTTGTTTGTTTTGTTTGTAGTTAAGCACAAAGCTACACAAAGGGCTATCTGTGCTCTACCCACCACGGGTATCGAAACCTGGTTTCTAGCGTTGTAAGTCCGCTAGAAACCGGGTTTCGATACCCGTAGTGGGCAGAGCACAGATAGCTCTTTGTGTTGCTTTGTGCTTAACTACAAACAAACAAACAAGCTTATAATATTTTTTTTTTCATTTACAGCAAACATTAATCCCTGTGGTATTACCATTATTTGTTATATTACTTCCCATTCATGACCAAAATTGATCTCACCGTCTTTCTTCGGTTTTCTACCCCTCAATAGACGCACTATCACAAGTCTGTTAATTTTTTTCTGGGGGGGGGGGGGTTGGAGAGTTACGCTATAAAAAAATTAAAGGTTTGGCGTTTAGTCACCTTTCTTAAACCATGAGAACAATACCTATTATATTGATATGGTTTTAATGCTGTAAAATCGTTTAATTTATTTTCTTACACCATTTATCCTGTAAAACGTGTAGTGTTACTATTTAAGTATCTTTCTTGTATCGAAAATACGGCAAAGGGATAACATTTAGCGACCTTTCTTAAACAGCAAAACTGTCAATCGTAATGTATTTCTTTTTTATCTTCGTATTCTCAAACGATTTGTCTGTTACACTGTTTTTTTTTCTTATATTACACAGAAAATAAACTCTCAGAATGTTAGTTTATATTTAATTTATCGCTGTTTACTTATAATTTTAAAGGTGAAATTATTACAGTATCTTTGTTTATCTACTATATTTCTGTTTTGAATTTATTTAACAAAAAACAAAACAAAAAGAGAACATTCCAAGATGTAAAGAGTTAAAGAAGTAAAGTATATCACTATATGAAAATATATTTAAATTTTAATTGTTCTTTGATAACAAAATTACATGTTCAGCTCATAATTT